TGTGGGTTATATGTTAAATGTTATGATAGTTTTAAAGACAGCTGCGCCAAAAGCATAAACATTAAGCATGTGGTGAAGATGATCGGACCTAATTTTGGTGGAAATTTGACTAATTTTCTGGGATTGACCAATGCAAATTGGTGTAAAATGATAGAACGTTTTTTGAAACAATACTGTTCTTCAAAACTCATGAATCTAAATAAAAAACCTTTAAGCCAGATAATTCAATAATGATTTTTGACCATTACTTTTTTTTGGCCAAGTACTCATGATCACAGTATGTATAGCAAAGTTACATGATCAGAATAATTTATGTGAATTGTTCAAAAAGATGTTTTGATTTACAAAAGTCTTTGTATGTTCAAAAATTACATCAACTTGTGAAATGTGTGTAAAATATCCAGATGTTTAGTGTTTATTTGACACTGCATTTTGATAACACTGTTCATATATAATTACAATAATATAGAATAATAATAAATAATTATAATAAATAAAAGTGAAATTGTGCTTTGTTGGTTTAATGTCTACTAGAATGTTAAAAAATGTTCCGTGTTAAATATTTTTAAATAGTTGTTTTGTAATTGATTTTTTTTCTTCGTAAAGCATGACAAAACAGTAAAAAGCACATTTTGGCTATTTAATACGGTGATGCATTGCTGCCACACACACATTTTTTCCCCCACTCAATTATGTCGTAATAACGAGATGTTATGTCCTTTTAAGGACATACTTTCTCATAATAACGAGATTTTTTTTCTCTTAAAACTACATCTTTTCTCGTAAAAACGAGATATGTCATAAAAACAATGCAATTATCTCGTTAAAACAACATCTTTTCTCGTTAAAACGACATATTTTTCTCTCGTAATAACAACATATGTCATAAAATCGATATGTTTTCCGTTATTATAGATATATGGTAGGCTATATGTGAGCGTGCTAAGCGACATAAACGAGGATCTGCACGCTGCTGAAATGATTGAAATACACTGTTATAAATTTATTTTAATGTAATGGTTTTAATTGTAGCGGCACGTTTATTAGGATTAATCTCCAATCTGTCTACAATATAGTGCTATCCAGTAACTGCACTCAGACCCATGACTCATTTAGGCTATGATCAGATCAAAACAGTTATTTTTGAATAATGACTCTGGGCTTAATATTTCTTTATTTGAATGACTGAAGTTTGATTTAACAACAAATCGAAATACGAACAAAAAGAAATAAAGAGATTTTCTAATAGGCTAATAATAATAATAATAATTATTATTATTATTATTATTATTTCGTTCTGTTTGAAAACAGGCAAACGAAAATTAAGCTAGATTTTTCTTAGGCCTATTTTTGTTCATGGGTAAACAAATGAGCTTATGCTTTAATATTTGTTTCACATGTGTGGGCAGCTTTGATACTTTAGTCTGATTATATATTAATTATGTATTAGTGATTATATATTATTAAAGGATATCTTTAGCTGAATCAAGCCGCGCATCGCATCACATTCTTCTTATGGGAATACAGATTAGCTCAGACGGGAAAGACTGTACAGTACCTCTTGTTGGATTTAGGCTATACGAATTAAAAATAAACACAAATTTGTTTTCGATTGATTTATTCAAGTAGACCTTTAGACATAACAAGGTGCGCCAGAAAGCGCACCGTTATTTTACAAAAGCAATTTGTAACGTTTTGTTGTTATTGTGGAAGTATAGAAAATAAAGCAGACATTTCTTTCCTCTGTTATCACAATGTAGCCCAAGGGATCACATAATTGAGTGGAAAAAATAATATGTGTGTGGCAGCAATGCGTCACCGTACTCGCAGGCAAATTTATGGATGCTCCAGAAAGGGAACAAAATGTCAAAAAAGATGGACCCTGTTGCAAAACACACTCACATCCATCCAAAAAAATCCACATCCAGGCACTCACATCGTAAGCAAAGTAAAAAGCCTTTATTCTAAGACAGGGCTACATATTAAAAAGACACCAATGCGTATCAGCTCAAGCAGGCCTTCATCAGGGTGTTAGACAATATGGAGTGAGAAGTAGCTAAATAGATAGATTTGTGTGTGTGTGTGTGTGTGTTTTGCAACAGGATCCACCTAATCTTTTTTTAATATTTTAACTGTTCAAATGAATGAAATAGTAATTTTTTTTGAACATGAAGGAACTAGAGATCTGATGTTCCCATCACTAGTTTAACTTTCACTGGATTGAATCTTTTCATCATTGTTGTTTGTTACTTAAATAGTTTCACTCTTGAAAGCTCCATTTGTCAGTTTCCAGTTTGCAGACTAGTAGTAATGAACAGCTATTCAGTGTGTGTAGAGACGTATGGTAATGTCTTGCCCTGTCATCGTTTCTTCTTTCTGTGCAGAATCACTCCCGGCTGCTGATGTGGAATATGTTGAGATCCAACCGCAGAAGAAGAGGAAGGAGAGGAAAGAGAAGGAGGAAGAGGTTCAGTACGGCGAGGTGACGTTCACTCTAAACCTCTCAAGCACTTACACACGGTCTCAGGAGGAGTGTATTTATTCTCAGGTACACAGATGATAGTTTCACAACAATAGCTGTGTAAAATCACACTTTCCCTGGGAAATTAGCGCTTACGTTCACTTATGTTTCACTTTGGGAGTTGTACAGTTTACATAAAGCACATATCTCTTTGCATATGCACTGTAAATTGTTTTGTCTGACATGTTAATGATGGTACTGTATGTTGATATGCTGTGTTAGGGCCTGTAGAGTGAGCATTAAAGTGATAGTTCACCCAAAAATTAAAATGACCCCATGATTTACTCATCCTCAAGCCATCCTAGGTGTATATGACTTTCCTCTTTCAGACAAATACAATTGGAGTTAAAAATGTCCTGGCTCTTCCAAGCTTTATAATGGCAGTGAATGGGTGTTGAGATTTTGAAGCCCAAAAAAGTGTCCATCCATCATGAAAAGTACTCCACACGGCTCCGGGGTTAATAAGGCCTTCTGAAGCAAATCGAAGTGTTTGTGTAAGAAAAATATCCATATTTAAAACTTCATAAACCATAATCTCTTGAGAGAGTGGCACTCCAGCGGATGACGTAAGACGTAGGCGCAGTGTAAGCATTGGTGAGAAGTGACAGCGCAGAAAGCAAAAAGTACAAAACAAGGATTTGTAAAGAAAAATGTTGGAGGATTGCGATATAAGCCAAGAGGAGACAGGTGTAAACAAAACTTAGTTCTCATGAGACTAGCATATTCTCACCAGAGCTTATGCTACGCCTACGTCCAATGTCATCCGCTGGAGCGGCCTTCTCTCGTGAACGTGCGTATGACAGTTAGTGGAAGCTAGAGATTGCGGTTTATGAAGTTTCTTACTAAAAGGCATCAATTCACTTCAGGAGGCCTTTATTAACTCACTGGAGTCATGTAGAGTACTTTTCATGATGGATGGATGCAATTTTTTGGGCTTCAACACCCATTCACTGCCGTTTTAAAGCTTGGAAGAGCCAGGACATTTTTTAAAGGGGTCATATGATGTGATTTCAATTTTTTCCTTACAAGCTCTTGATGCATAAAGAAGATCTGTAAAGTTGCAAAGACTAAAGTCTCAAATCCAAAGAGATATTCTTTATAAAAGTTAAGAGTCAACCACGCCTACCTAAAACGACTCATTCTAACACGCCCCCACATGTCTACGTCACGATGTGGGAAGATTTGCATAACACCGCCCAAATGTTCACACAAAGGCGTAACTTTTATTCTCGCTGTAGTATTGTCGTTGCCGCCGCCGCCATGTCGTGAAGGCGCTGTGTGCTTCGTTGTGAAAGCGAAACTACTTTGTTTGGCCTTCCAAAAGAGGACGATATCCGCTTCGTCATGCCTAGAGCTGATCCGTGCTGGTCGCTGAGGAAATACATCAACTTCACTGACGATTCAAACGCGAGTTTTTTGGGCAGTGTAGAGTAGCACTTGTTTGTCATTTATCCTATCACAAATGCAGACATGGTTTTATGTTATGCTCCGGCCAAACAGGACATCACAATATGGTAAGGGGCGTAACATTTCCGTCACACGATTGAGGTATTCGGCCAATCACAAAGCACTGGATAGCTGGCCAATAAGAGCACACCTCGCTTTTTCAGACCGATGAGCTTTGTAAAAATCGATGCGTTTCAGAAAGGCGGGGCATAGAGGAGAAACAATAATGTACAGTATGTGGAAAATAATGGGTTTTTTTAACCTTAAACCGCATAAACACATTTCATTACACCAAATACACCAAATAATGTTCTTTTTAGCAGCATCATATGACCCCTTTAATATAACTCCAATTGTATTCGTCTGAAAGAAGAAAGTCATATACACTGGTTTGAGGGTGAGAAAATCATGAGGTAATTTTCATTTTTGGGTGAACGATCCCTTTAAAATACTGTATGTGTCTGGGCTGAACCGTGAAATCTTGAGTATGCAAGACTACGAAAAAAAAGGAAACCAAATGCATGTTATTTTCCTTCAGACAAGCACTACTGTTTTTAGTGCTTCTCAATTTGTTCTGCTGCAGTTGTGATGATATGATGGTGAGAAAAGGCTTAAATGTGACCCTGGACCACAAAACCAGTCTTAAGTCGCCTGGGTATATTTGTAGCAATAGCCAAAAATACTGTAACAACGTTTGTAGGTCGGGAAGGAGGCGGGAACTGGCGAACATTTGAACAAAACTTTAATAATAAAATAAACACAAAATAGCGCGACAGCCCCTCGCGGACAACTGTTGCGCACAAACAGAACCAAAACACAAAATAAAATCCAGGCCTGGTCCTCTCTCGTCCAACACTGTCATCACTCCTCCTTTTATCCTTCCGGAGCTCCTCCATGGGACTAGAGACCAGTGAGTGGCGCAGGTGTCGCGCATTAGCATTTACTCCACCGTAGCATTTACTCCCGCCCCTCTCGTCACAAATACATTGTATGGGTCAAAATTATTGATTTTCCTTTTCTGCCAAAAATCATTAGGATATTAAGTAAAGATCATGTTCCATGAAGATATTTTGTAAATTTCCTACTGTAAATATATCAAAACTTATTTTTTGATTAGTAATATGCATAGCTAAGTCTAAATTAAAAAAAATTTACACTTATGACTGGTTTTGTGGTTCAGGGTCACAAATGAAAGTCAGCTTTTAATCATGAATAACAAGGAGGTGATCGATGTGCACAAGTGTCATGAAAACACAGCAATCGGGTTGTTTTAAATTATTAAAACATTTCAAAGCAATTGAAATTTGTAAAATCTAAGCTTTGCTAGATTGAGTTTTAGTAGAATTTAACAGCGATATGAGAGAGTCTGTGTGTTAAAACGTGTCAAAAATGTACATTTGGCCATCTGGATTGAGTTGAAGCAGTCAGTTTTATTTAAACGGCACATTATTTCAAAACGTTTACAGAATGTTTCTGTAATAATATTATAATGTAATAATATCTTCAAGTTCCTCAAGTACAGGAAATGGCCTGAAAAAGTCCTGATGATATCTAGAGTTTCGCTCACACTAACAGGTTAAACTGCTTTAAAGTTTTGTAAATTTTGTAATTAACTAGTCCTGCTAGTAAACAGTTGATCCTATCGGCTAAACTAGTTCAGTGTTCAGCTCCCTGATAAAAACTTTATAGCTTGAATTCACAGTAAAGAGCATCTAAAAGCGTTTGCCAAAGGCATAAATATAAATGCACTTAATTTTTGTTGCGTCTTTGTTGCTTCTATTAAAAATTACATTTAATTTAGTTAATTATTGCCAGCTCTATATTGTTGGATATACTGTAGAAGTATATACAACTTTATTTGCATACATGCAGTACACTCACATAAAGCGATATATACCATATAGCAAATCTTAACTGCTTTATATAGTTCCAAAACGTTATCTATATTATCACACAGCTCTATATAAAAAGTTAGATACAGTACTGTATATAAGTATGTCTAGCTTTAGCATGCATACAGTATACTTTAACTAAAATTAAAACAAATTTATACTATTGGCCAGGTCTTTATATAAAGTTGGATATATAGCAAACTTTATTTCCATACATACTGTGCAGTACATAAAAGGATTCATACTATATAGCAAATCTCCACTGTTTTATTGTTTATATCGTCACAAAATGTAACTATATTATCATTCAGCTCTAATCTGATAAAAGCAACATGATGATATTAAGCTATTAAAAACATTAACATCATGACTTTCTGTAAAGCTGCTTTGAAACAAAGTGTAAGGTCAAAAGCGCTATGTAAATAAAATTGACTTAATAATTTAGGTTATTAATGTGAATATTAATCTTAATCTCATTTGATCCTCATTTATTGTTTTCCATGCTGAATGAAAGTATGTTTTTTTTTGTGTGTGCAAGAGTTCTGTTACATGTTTATAATTATGAGTTTGATTGGCCGAAACATTGTTTTTGATTAACACCTTTGTATTAGTTTTTAAACTTTTGAAATGGTAGATTGGGAAATCTTAGTCTGTTGTCTGAGGTGGTTTGCTGATCATATCATGTGACTTCCTGCGTGTGAAAGGAAGCATCTCACGCCTTCTCAGTGCAAAAGGTGAATGCTCTCTCCCATGCATCACAGTGTGTAAATAAATAATCATTTTTAAAATAATGTTCCATTATTAATCAGCAGCGTAACAGATGCCATCATGACATTCTGGTTCTAAATAAGCCTATACAAACTAAACTGAATGACATTTTTAAAATGAGAAATTTTGCTGCTGCTGCATCTTCATCTTCTTCCTCCTTCAGCAGTGTCACTTTACCACAACCAGATGGCTAATGATTCACACACACACACACACACACACACACACAGAATAACGTCCTGCTGTTATCTGCACGGATGTAAACGGACATTCACGAGAAAATGGTAAAGGAAATAAAGTCCTCTCGGGATGTTTAGAAGAATTCATTCAAGTGACCAAATGAGCGTTTTATTTTCTGAAGCTTTGTTTTATTCTCCTGTTTTCAGTGTGCTTTTTCACGTTCATCAAGATAAGTGTAAAATAGTGTGAACTGGTTCTACTATCTATAAAGATACTAAAGCGTGAAACAAGATAGTAATCTCTGTATTTGACGGATGAGATGCTGCACTAATAGGCTGAATATGTTCATAACAGCAAGAAACTGAAGTGCGGATCTGTTTTTAAAGCGCGAGCCGTACAGCTGCATTTATGTGGATGTATGTCATGCACACTGACTCATTTACAGTTTTTCTTCTCCGTTTTATCTGAAACCCAGACATGGGTTTGCATGTCTGTCAGCTGTGCTTAAAGGGATGGTTCGCACAAAAATAAAATGATCTGTCATTTTCTCACCATTTTCAGTATTATTTTGGTAAATATTTTACTCGAATGCTCTTGAAACTGAATTCTATCTCTGTACTCAATTGTGTTTCTGAGGCAAAATCACACTTTTATTATTCCTTAATAATTAACTTTTATGAGCTCCCACAAATTTTACTTTCACTTTAAACAGTCAATGAAATTTATTTGTGTAAAATATAACATTATTGATTGCATAACCAAAACAGTTGAAACACTCTTCAAAATATCTCATTTGTGTTCCACAGAAGAATAATATAATTATTTTGTGTTGTCAAAGGCAAAAATCCCACTTTTATTATTCCATATAATTTTCTTTAAATTCTTTTGAACTTCACAGAATTTTACTTTTAATTAAAACAAACATAATAGGACATTATTGGATTAGTTTTTTTTTACCACAAGCAGTTTGTAGAACTGTAGATCTTTCTTTTTTCTGTGAAAATTTACATTTATATTGTAGATCATTTTAAACAGGTCCCAGTTTTCTTTTGGACCCCATTGACTTTCTTTGCATGAACCAAAACAGTTTTTGTATATATCATATCTCAGTTGTGCTCCACAGAAGGATACATTTTGTATTATTTGTTGAATATCTTACTTAAATACCCACAACCGAAGACTAACTTAGTACTTGATTATGATTATGTCCAAAGCAATATCACACTTGTATTATTCCATAATAATTTCCTTATACTTTTTTGAGCTCCTCAAATTTTTACTTTCACTTAAAACTTCCAATAAACTGTGTGCAAAATATAATAGGACATTATTGAATTAAAGTAATTTATCCTTACATCACAACAGTTTTTGACCTCTCAGTGCTTTTTCTTTTTTTTTGGACCCCATTGACTTTCATTGTATGAACAAAAACAACTGAAACATTCTTTCTTGTATACCACGGAAGGAAGAGTAATAGTATAATTTTGTTGAATATCTTACTTAAAGAGATAGTTCACCCAAAAATGAAAATTACCCCATAATTTACTCACCCTCAAGCCATCCTTGGGGTATATAACTTTATTCTTTCAGACGAATCCAATCAGAGTTATATTAAACAATGTCCTGGCTCTTCCAAGCTTTATAATGACAGTGAATGGGTGTTATTTTTCAATAGTCCAAAAGAAGTCCAATAAAGCGCATCCATCCATCATAAAAAGTAGCGAATCAATGTTTTTATAAGACAAATATCCATTTTTAAAAAATTATAAACCGTAATCTTTAGCTTCCGCTGACTGTTGTACGCTCGTTCACAATAGAACGCCGTTCCGGCGGATGACGTAGGCATAGCGTAAGCATATACATATCTATGAGCGTAAGGTCCGGTGAGAACATGCTAGTCTCACGAGAACCAACGTTTGTTTACAGGAGCAAAGGAAGCAAAGTTTCCATACTTTAGCAAAGGAAAACCAGTCTCCTCTCGGCTTATATCAAAATCCTCTGACATTCTTCTTTACAAATCTTCGTTTTGTACTTCTAATTTGTGACCAGTGTTTTGTTATGCTCTCTCCTCTGCGCTTCCTCATTCATCACTTCTCACCGGACCTTACACTACGCTACATCATCTGCCTGAATGAACGCGCAAGTTAGCGCACGCTAGAAATTACGATTTATAAAGTTTTAAATATGGATATTTTTCTTACAAAAACGCATTGATGAGAGCCGTGTGATGCACTTTTTTATGATGGATGGATGCACTTTATTTGACATCTTTTGGACTGATCAGAAATAACACCCATTCACTGCCATTATAAAGCTTGGAAGAGCCAGGATGTTTTTAAATATAACTCCGATTAGTTTCGTCTGAAAGATGAAAGTCATTTACACCTAGGATGACTTGAGGCCGAGTAACTTATGGGGTCATTTTCATTTTTGGGTGAACTATCCCTTTAAGTACTCAAAACCGAAGGCTAACTTAGTACTCGATTATGTTTCGGAGGCAAAATCACGCTTTTATTTTTCCTTATAATTTCCTTTGAATTTTTTGAGCTTCCTCAAATTTTACTTTAACTCAAAACAGCCAATGAAATTAATTTCAGTGTAAAATATAATAGGACGTAATTGAATTACAGTAAAGCAGTTTTGTTTATAGGTATTGCTGAAGATAGACTTTTGACACACATTTTGACCCGGTCCTTAAACTCAAACATCTCAGTACTTTTGACACAGGAACGCTCCTTCAGATGAGGGTCAATGGTGACATTGTGAAACCGATCAAATATTAACAGTTCAAACACGTGATCTTGAAGGACATGAGATGAACGTTATGGCATCAGGTCTTTATTGGATCTTTAATTGACATGAATCATCTGACTGAGCTGCAAAAACAGGCTCCACCTGTCCCATCCGATGGCGTCCGTGCGGCCCGCAGCTTATGCTCGACCTCTGCCTTCTCTGTCAATGATTGACTTCGCTGAATACTTGCTCACCTCTTCAGCTTCTGTTTTTATCAATAAGCTGGGTTTGTTTCCTTGTGTTATCAAGACTTATGATCCACGCGGCTCATTGTGATCGGTAAACACTCACACGCCAACTGGTTTCCACCCTCTCAAAGTACAGCGTGATTTAGAGATGGTCGTTGTATGATTTAGTTAAATCTGATCAACATGTCAAGGTCATTTTTTTTATTTGAAATATAGGAACATTAAGGATGTTTTTCAAAAAAAACAAAAAAAAAACAAGGTAACACTTTTAATAACACTTTATTAATGCATTAATTATGGCTTGTAATGCAGCTTGTAATGCATTGTATGATCCTATGAATAATTGTAACCACCATAGTAATGCATTATAACGCTTATCTAATCATAGCTAGATCTTTAGAAAGTATAATGCATAAAACATTACACTAATAAACAAGGAGTCTGCAAATATGCATTTCAATTCTGGTCATAATTACTTATGAAATTATATAATGTAAAATATGAATACCTTTATAATTGCATATTTGAAAGCTTCAAGTGTTACCAAACTCTGTAATGTGCAAAAATTAGATTTTAATAAAAATATACATTGTGAAGTATTTATACATCATTATTATTACATTTATGCTGACAAAAAAAGGCATTTAAAAATATTTTATATAACTAAAAATTACCTAATATAACGAGAATCGTCATTGAGAATAATGGCAATTACAAAAAACTCAAAAGTAATAATTCTCTTTACAATAAAGGGAATTTGGAAGAAAATGTGCTTAATTGTTGTGAAAATAATGTCAAAATGCAAAAAAAAAAAAAAGATTTTTCTTGAGATTCTGAATGTCTGCAATTTTATGTTCTCCTCAAATATTATCTTTTTATTCAAATTATGCTCTTTTTACAAATGAACGATTACACAGAGGCACCAGTTGATGCTATTTAAAAAAAATAAGTAATTTTTCCATCATCCAGTAGATGTAAAATATTTTACATAGTAAAGCAAAGCAGTAGTGATACAAATAGTCATCAAATCATCACCAGTAGTTAGTGAGGTCATATCAAAAGCAGTACAGAAATGAAGAAAGCATTATTCAACATACTCTGAGATCATCATTTTTTACAAAAATTGAAATACTGTGCGTCTTATTCACAATAAAACGTGTTTGCGTGTCATTCGTGTAGTGCAATATGAACGCTGCGCTCAGCGTCACTGAAACCATGTAAACATGTACTGTTTATCCTTCTGTCTGGAAGAGTTTTCAGTATTCCTCTTTGATGCTCGTCGATATATTGTCTGTCATCAAGCCATTATTGGTGCTGCTGACCATGGCGGTGTTTGCGTGACCGGATGCGCTGACCAGTGTGAATGTGGAGCTCTGCTCAGCCTGCTGGAGTCGCTTCTTGTTCATTTTCCTTTCTTTGGCTCGTCTGTTTTGAAACCAGATCTTCACCTGTGAACCACAGTGTCAAAATTATTTGCCTGATTAAACAAACGATGAGGCTTCTAACTGTACCAGACACATCCTGTGTCTCATGCATACAGTGGGTACGGAAAGTATTCAGACCCCCTTAAATTTTTCACTCTTTGTTATATTGCAGCCATTTGCTAAAATCATTTAAGTTAATTTTTTTTCCTCATTAATGTACACACAGCACCCCATATTGACAGAAAAACACAGAATTGTTGACATTTTTGCAGATTTATTAAAAAAGAAAAACTGAAATAACACATGGTCCTAAGTATTCAGACCCTTTGCTCAGTATTTAGTAGAAACACCCTTTTGATCTAATACAGCCATAAGTCTTTTTGGGAAAGATGCAACAAGTTTTCACACCTGGGTATGTATGTATATTAGTGCTGTCAAACAATTAATCGTGATTAATCGCATCCAAAATAAAGTTTTTTATTTACATAATATATCTGTGTGTACGGTGTATATTTATTATGTATATATAAATACACACATACAGTATATATTTTGAAAATATTTGCATTTATTTACATGTATATATTTATATTAATATAATTTATATTATATATTAATATATTTAATATATAAACGTAACATATTTTTCTTAAATATATACTGTACATGCATGGGTGTGTATTTATATATATATACATAATAAATATACACAGTACACACAGATATATTATGTAAACAAAAACGTTTATTTTGGATGTGATTAATCGCGATTAATCGTTTGACAGCACTAAAGCACTTTTTTGCATTAAAGTTATGAGAATTTGGATAAAGCACTTAATTATGTAAAACCATCTTAACAATCTTCATTATCCTAAAAATATTGCATTTTCTTTTAACCGTTACTATAGAACTGAGTTATGGGATTTTAAAAAGGCACTGATTATCATCTTCCTCTTTCTAAAAGATGCAGCACATGTAATCTAGGTGTTGTGGTTTCTATTGCATATCACGATACATGTATCTAATTCTGTAGAGAGACATCTCATCCTTTCACAAGAAACTTGGTTATAATTAGATGAATCTCACAGCATGAACTCACAGGTTGGTTTAACTTCCACTTTCCATGCTCCATCAACCTACCTGGCGTTCTGATAGGCTCAGGGCCACCGCGAGCTCCGCCTTCCGTCTGATGGTGATGTAGCGGCTGAAATGAAATTCCTTCTCCAGCTCCAAGCGCTGGACATCACTGTACACCACTCTGTATTTGTCCTTCGTCCGAGTCTTTCCTCCTGCCATCAAAACAAGGATATTTTTAATTTCCATATTCAGCTGTGGTTACTGAAGAAGGCTTTTGAAAATCATTTTTTAAGATATTAATGGGCCTGATTTCAGTTTGTGTGTCAGATTCCAGTCACTGAATTTAGTGTATTTAATTCAAAACAACATAGGCTAATAGGGTAAAACTAATTTACTATTTAAGAATCGAAAACAATAAGAATCGCAAGCGTTTATGTAGTGTTGTAATGTTTAAATGTGCAGATTAGACATGGGCCTTCTATGTTTGGTGTGTGTAAGTGCTGCTGAAGTGGAGAAAATACTCACAGAAGATACATATTGTATTCGAAAACTACAGACGCAAATAGATAAGGTGTAATAAAACAAACACTTAAATGTGTATTTTGGATGTGTTTTTTCTAGTGCTGTCAAACGATTAATCGCATCCAAAATAAACGTTTTTGTTTATATAATATATGTATGTGTACTGTGTTTGTTTATTATGTATATATAAATGCACACACATACAGTATATATTTTGAAAATATTTACATGTATATACATTTATATATTTATATTATGTTTTCTATTATATATAAATAGATTTAATATATAAACATAACATAGTTTTCTTAAATATATACATGCATGTGTTTGTATTTATATATGCATAGTAAATATATACAGTACACACAAATATATTATGTAAACAAAAACTTTTATTTTGGATGCGATTACTAATTTTTTCACTAGTCTGAAGCAACACTTTATGAAAAGCCAAGCATCCCAAAATCTCAAAATTGACCATGAAAAAAACCAATGCTTTTCCCTGCAGTGTCTTGCCTTTAGAGATTATTTATTTGTTTATAAATGTCTCCAATAACTGTGCACAAAGAGCAATATTTAAATTTTACAAAATGCTCAAAACAATTCCCAGTCCCCTGATATTTTCAGCTTTTGCACAACATTTGTGTTCTTGGATTTTAGGTAGTTAAGGTTTGTGCTGCTTGGACTTCGAATCCCATCAAAATCATCAATCCACTGATCAAAGACGTTATGATTCATTGCTCTTTTCAGTAAAATGGGCGCTTATACACTTGAGCAAATAGAAAAAAAATTTGTTTAGCTGTCAGAAAGGAAGGGCAGCACTTGAGATCTGATCTCATGTCCTGTTTTTATAATCTGTCCCTATCCAGAACAGGTCTCGTGCTAACATTAACATGAATATTCCTCTGCAGAGGCTGATGGAGAATAAACCACGTTCATATCCCTCTCAAACTTTTGGTTAATCTTGAGATGTTCTGTTTGCCTGATGTTAGCGTTAACCACATGTTAAGCACACAAACTTATCTTAACCCCGCTGAATGAAACTCAGAAGAAGTTCTCAGAAAAAGGAAGTGTCTGAATCTGCTCAGCCACTGTCTGCAGGAGCTTTTCTTAGATTTCACTTCACTTTCACTTTACTTTTCCAAGCCTTTCTTTGCAATGACCTTTAAGATAAATCAGACATTTAGTGAGTGAATTAAGTGTTCAAATATGTTTTCAGTCCATTTTGTACTAATACTTCCGTCTTTTTACTTTTAAAACATCTTTAATGTTGTGACACAGACATGTAATATTCACTCATTCAAAATAATTTTTCAGTATATATAAAAAGAGTAAATCCGTGCATTTTAAATTTCCATCAATAATCAAACAGAAAAAATAAACTCTAAAATAAAAGTATGAGAATATGGAGAAAAATGTCACACAAAAAAACAATGCAAATAATCATAATGGTCCCTAAATTTTGTTTAGATTCACGTCCCTCACAGAATATCCTCTTTTTATTCAAACTGTCCACTTTTTAAATGAATATTCACACAAAGGCACTCAGCAGTTGAGTTCAAAAATGAGAACAAACCCCTGTGCATTATGTTTCATTCTTACTGTGAATTACAAAATTAGTGAAAGTTTTGCTGAGAAATGCAACAGGATTTTACATCATCTGTGATTCACCATTGATGAACGTTATCTAAATATGGCCATCAGCTTGTGTTTATTTAACCGTTTGTCCAACCGAACATACACCACACACACAGATCTCTGTTTGAGCATCATGACTATAAATCTGAAGCCTTTCAAAGAGGATTATTGATGCTTAAATATTTTGAAATATAAATAAACGCAACACTTTTGTTTTTGCCCCCATTTTTCATGAGCTGAACTCAAAGATCAAAGACTTTTTCTATGTACACAAAAGGCCTATTTCTCTCAAATATTGTTCACAAATCTGTCTAAATCTGTGTTAGTGAGCACTTCTCCTTTGCCGAGATAATCTATCCACCTCACAGGTGTGGCATATCAAGATGCTGATTAGACAGCATGATTATTGCACAGGTGTGCCTTAGGCTGGCCACAATAAAAGGCCACTCTAAAAAAAAAAAACGATATATATTTAAAATATCTATCTATCGTCCATCCGTCCGTCTGTCTGTTAGTTTTTTATGCAATATTTCCCCCTTTGATTTAGTTTAACTGAATTAATGTACTAAAATCAAGTATCCACCATGGAATAAAAAAAAGTAACAAAAATAATCCCGACTTTCTATCTTGCTAGAGTTTATATTTCACAATTCCGAAACTCACAAATTTGAGAAAAAAGTCGGATTTTTTTATTTTGGGCTTTTTGTTTTATTCTGTATCTAATAATTAATAATTATATAGATATTAGATATAGAATTATAAAAATAGTAACTAATAAAAATGACAAAACTGCACAACCAGATGAACTAAAACTAACTGATATGAAAATAAAAATGGAAAATGCAAAAATAAAACATAATTTTACTATTTAAATACTACAAAAATTATAATAGTATTACTAAATCTTTAACTGAAATTAAAATGAAAAATACAAAAATATTTAAATTTAGTTTAAAAATAAAATAAAAATGAAAATAAAAAAACACCCCTATAACAGCATCTCAGTGATACTAAAATAACACTGAAGCACACACACACACACTGTCTAGACCAGGAATCCTCAAATCTGGCCCACGAGATCCACTTTCCTGCAGAGTTTAGCTCTAACCCTAATCAAACACACCTGAGCATGCTAATCAATGTCTTCAGGATCATTAGAAAATCACAGGTAGCTGAGTTTGATCAGGGTTGGAGCTAAACTCTGCAGTGCATTGGCCCTCCAGGGCAAGATTTGAGGAACCCTGGTCTAGACTATCTGTCTTGACCCCAGAATGCAGTTTTCATAGACTGAAACTTTCTTAACAGTTCTCTTCCCTTTTCTTCAGCAGCTTCGACTGACGTGTGTAAACACACACACACACATACACACACACACACACACACACACATACACACACATACACACACACACACACAGAGTCTCGTCCCCTTATCAGTGCGCTCCGGTCCTCCCTCAGTGCACACAGCAGGGTGCGGTGCTGCCTCAGACTCGCTGGCCTCTGCTACTATTAGCTTTTCACAAAATCTTTCACTTGGTTCGACTCTCAAGACGCCTTGTGTTTAGACACGAGGATTAATAATCGAGCGGCTAACATTAGGCAACACCTTCATACACTGTTTCATCCAGTGTCACACACGGCTGACTCACTGTGTCTCTGTACGACGGCGCCCTCGTTTATCTCTTTCCTTAAATGAACATATACGTCTGTGACATTACTAATGCATAATGTGTGGTAAAAGTCCTGGGAAGAGGGATTATTTGTACAGCGATTGCAGAACCGCCGTCTTGAACTAACAGAAGTTCTTGTTAAGTGGGCGTCAAAAGTGTAGTTAGTTGAGTAGTTGTATTTAAAATGGGTTTTAAATGGATAACTGATTTTTACTGTGGTTTATCTCTTCGAACCGGTTCTGAGAAGGCCAAAAATGAAACTTGGATATGTGTGCACTCAGTAAATCAAGGTTTACAGTGTTTAACCTCATTATACGCACACACAAATCATCACCGTCATATGATGGGCTGTAATAAACACAGCATAAAGAGATAAAAACAGAAGCACGTATCAGCAGACGCCAGTTCAAACCTTAGTGTGCTGCCTAACTAGACTGCATTTTACAGCATCACACCCCAGTGTTATTTTGGTGTCACTGAGATATTATTATGGTATTTATTACATTTATAGTTTTTATTTTAATATTTAAAATGTTTTTGTTCAAGTTCTTTAGTTCTTTAGTTTCTGTTCATTAGTTTCTATTTTTTTTATAATGTTTATATAGTTCACATATTAGAAATGCTTTCTTTGCATCTAACTGAAATAAAATACATTTAAGTTTTCTTTAATATTTTATTTTTATTTTAATATTCTAAATTAGTTTTTTTCTGTTGTCATTTTAATTTTCATTAAAGTTTTAGTAAATTTGTTGCTTTTTTAGTTAGTTTTTTTTAATGTGTATATAGTTTTGATTAATTTTTATCTCCATTTTAGTTTTTATTATTTTAGTTCATTTCTTTTCAACTAAATGAAAATGGGAAAAGTAGATGATATAAAATAAGTTTAGGTTTTTTATATGCTATTTTATTTGATTTATTAAATATTTATTGGATTTTATTTGATTTATTTAACATTTATTCTATTTCAAGTAACAAAACTTTTTAAGGTTTTAATTTTAGTTAAAATAAAAAAAATAGTTTCATTAGAATTTTTTTTATTAAAAGTTTTAATAAAAAATTTTAATCTAGTTGCAAAGGCAACATTTGTAAATTTTACGTAATAAAATAATCATATATGATTGTGATACCTTCACTCCTGCCCTCTGGAGGTTGTTGCTGATTTCACTAACAGTTGTTTTAGGGTCTTTCTTTACAGCTGTCACAATGTTTCTGTCATCAACTGCTGATGTTTTCCTTGGTCTACCTGTTCGAGGTCTGTTACTTAGTACACCAGTGGTTTCTTTCTTCCTCAAATGGTTGTACTGGCTAGGGCCAATGTTTGTGCAATGGCTCTGAGTCATTTTCCATCTTCTCTCAGCTTCACCATTCCTTGTTTTTCACCCATAGACAGCTATCTGGTTTTCATGTCGGTTAC